ACTCTCTCTACTCTACCAGCAGATACAGGAGGGAAAGAATGTCTCCACCGATTTCCTTCTGCTTAGCCTTACTCAGTACCTGCTTACTGCCTTATTGATTCTCAAATGCTTCAAAGAGAGAATTTCATTTCGGTCCAAATTTGCTAACTCTTCTCAAGGAAGGGTTGTCTGAATTCCCTAGTCCTTCATTTTTAGAAGTTCATGCCTCAAAAAGCTTTGCTTTTCTTCTGTCTTCACCTTTTCTCCCCACTTCCTCACTCTCTCCTTCCCTCTCCCGACTCCTCGTTCTTTCTTTGTGGAGGAAAAGGTAAATAATGTCAGAAGATGAGAGAATTCATCTTTGGAGACTATAAAAAAGACCCAATGTTGATCCTAGAAATGAAATACATGAGCTGAGAATGTAAGAACTTATTAGGTGCCTTGAGAGATGCCTACACAGAGGAAAGGGTCAGTGAACTCTAAGACAGGTCACTAGAAAGTACCCAAACCTGAAAGAGAGGATGTGTGAGTCAGTATCAAAGGACATAACTGACAACTGACGTGTAAAAGAACAGGGAGACAGAGAATTGCACAAAAGAAATAAATGAAGAGATAATAGTCGAGAGCATGAAGAACTTGAAGGAAGAAATCAATAAGAAGACCCACTGCTCAGTAAACTCCCAGCAAGACACGGCGACCCATTAATTTTATTTTTACACCCACAAATAATTGAACATTTGGGAACGTTAAGAAAAGCTCCAAAGGGTAATCGTTTCCTGTCGCCCTTGTTGTGTCGGAATATAGGGGAGCTTTGCATTTCAGTATCAAACTGTAGCTCCATCTTTCAGATCTGGCATCCAGCAGGGACAGATGGCGGTGGTAAAAATAAACTGCAGGCAGAGACCGTTTTAAAGTGTGAAACAAGCCTGAGGCTGGCAGAACTCACATCGTCCTTTACAAAATGTATCAAGAAGGCACATTTCCCCAGGACAGCCCTGGGGTGCTGCTCTCAGAAGAGAAGACAGGAGCTTTTGAAGGGGTACTGTCATTCTGCGTCATTACTGATTTAGAATTAACAATGCCATGCAAGTCTATTCATAGAAACCCGTTTCCCAGAAATACCAATAACCGGTCAACTCGCTCACGTTTTAAAAGCTTCTGGAAGTTATCACAATTGGAAATGTCACTTTCTCATTCAAAACATGAGAAAGTCTTTGATTGATACAGTTTAATGCCAATATTAAACTAATTTTTAAAAACTCACTTTACAGTATGTCTCTGAGGCAAAATGATCAAAGATGAGGCTTAATAACTAATAAAAGTTGAGCTTGTAGAGCAAAACTATGTAAAACAATGTACAAGAAATCACAATAAATTTGTGATGTTAAATTGTAATAATTTCAGAGTACTGACCACACTATTACATTAAAAAGTTCCAGACTAGATACTCTGTAGGATTTGGCAAGATATCACCCCAAAAAACCCAAAACTTTAACATTGCTTTATTTATAAAAAATTCCACATATTTATATTGCACTATACATATGCTTATATAAGTAAGATATGTTGTTTAAAATAGTTTTGAAACTCAAGCACCGATAAACTATACATCCCCTTCATCTGTTAAGTTTCAGCTAATCATTCTATTTCTCGGTCAGTTCTTTGAAATATTTTCTTTTATCATTTTATTCATTAAGCTATATTCCTACTATATAATCGTAAAAACAAATAATGACAAAGCTTAGTGGAGCAAAGAGTTCTTTAAAGTTGTCTAAAATTTTGAATGCACGTAAACTTTGGTAAAATGACCAATAGAGAAATAAATTTTAAAAACCACTTAAAATCAAAGCCACATAAAATTAAGAATGCATATTATGTCGAGAAATACAAAGTATTGCAAAACAAGCTACGTGCTTGACTAGAAGTGGAAGTCTGTATGTTTAAGCAGTTGGTAAAATACCATGCTGATGAGTGTACTCACCTGGTTTTGGCACTGAGTTGGTCACTGACTGGGGGACTTTCTGATTAATTAACTCCACACAGTGTCCAGGGAAGAGTCCCACCTGAGAAAAGCAGCAAAGAGATATTCTAAACCAGAGAGCAGAGCAGTGTGTGAACAGCGCCAATTCAATTCCCGTAATGACTCCACAGTCCCTCCCAACTGACCCTATTATTCCAAGACTAAATCACAGATGATACCAATCACACAAACAAATAATGAAACAATCTGTTGCTATGAGTATAGAGCTATGTGTTTTAATTGTCCAAATAGCTAAGTCTGCTTTTTAAGTTTTAGCTTTTAATTTTCCACTTTTTTACACCAATTAAAATATTGAGTCTGATACTAACCTATGCATGTAGTAGCTATCATTTTTACCTCTCAATAATTTACTCTGCTGACATTTCAATCTAGTTGTGTTACTATCTCTACTATGAATTTTTCTATTTATTATCTTCCCTATGATTTTATGGAAACCTACACTAAGCCACCTTCCAAATTTTTTCATTCTTCCACATGTTTCATGAAAAAAAAAATGACAAAACTAAAATAAATTGGTTAAACAACTGCTCATTGAAAATCCTGGTTCTTACTGTCCTTGAAGAACTAGTGGTGTGTGGATAAGTGGGAAAGGAAAAGAGAGGAAAGAGCCAATCTCCACAGGGGTGACAGAATCTGGCTTTGAGAAACACATCACTTTGACCTGGTAGAATTACTCGTGGCAGAGGTCAAATCCTAAGAAGGTCAAATCCTGGGAAAATGCTGAGCACCAAGTCACCCAGAGAGACTGTACAGTGCAGCCAACAGAATGACTACAGAGCGAAGCAGCCTGGAAACATGAGTAAAAAGGCAATCTTTACCCATGTTTATAGATGTTTCCCTCGAGAGGAATATAATCGAGCTGCCATGTAGCAGATGTTAAGGCGAAAACATGAAAATCACATCACTTTGCACATCCCTCTGCTGACAGACTCTGGGGAAGCAGGCGACGGTCTCCCAAGACCATGACTCATCCTCGCGCTCTGAGCTGCAGCCTTCCCATCTGTGTAGGATTATTCTCACGCACTCATTGGCTGCATTATCATTCCAATTTCTGGATCAATATTTTATGGTTGTTTTTAAAATTATAAGGATGTAACCAGTTATCATGAGCTAAAAGGGGGTTATTAACAATTATCAGTTTTGTCTGAAAGATCTGAACTTGGGATTAAGTATTTGTTTTATTCTATATGACGTTTTATTGAGCTTCCTATCTAACTAAACAAGCAGAAATTCTTACAAGCCTGGTTAGAGCCAGATAAGAATCGACGTGAGATAAGAATCAGTGTGACAAATCCTTCCCGTTCTCTCTTACACAAATCAGTCATTACGAGAGGGCATGTGATATAAACAGTTAACAGCACAGCCAGGAGAGTAACAGCACCTGGGGTCAGCTCTCCACCTGCCACTTACTCCATCGGGTTTGTAACAAAGCCTCTCTGCTTCAGTTTATTCATCTAAACATAATAATAGCACCGAGTTCATAAAGGCTGTTATAAGAATTAAAGGGGACAGACTACACACAGTAAATTCCTCCCCCCCCCTTCCCCCCGCAACTGTTATCCACTATTCTCCCAGTGTGTTGGATGCGAGAAGACCTAGAGGGCTCCAGCTCCTCCCTTAGGCACATATTCATGGCACATAATACCACCTTTTGCATGTGTGTATTAAGTGTCCTCACTATCAAATATTTCCATAAAAGTCTAATTCATTTCCATTTGTAAACATTTCTGCAATCTGCTATGGAGAAAAGACCAGGCTCTAAACTTAGCTCGCGCATTTGCTAAGGCGCTGTGATCTGGAGCAAATTTCTTATCCTCTGTCTCAGTTTCTTACATTTGTAAAAATGGGGATAATATTAGATAATTGTGTGAAAGCAGCTAGCCTAGTTTCTAAATTCAAGGCAGCCAAGGGGAAAAAGACAGTAACCTACAAAGGAAAACCACCAATCAAAAGATATAGAGTAGCAGAATGGATTAAAAAAACAAACAAACAATAACAAAACAAAAAAAACAGGACCCAACTGCACGCTGCCTTCAGGAGAACCTTCTCAGCTACAAAAGCAAACATAAGCTCAATGTCAATGGGTGAAGGATGATGTTCCAAGCAAATGGCATCCAGAGTAAAGAAGATGCAGTCATTTTTATATCAAAGTAGATTTCATGACAAAAAAAAAGGTAAAAGAGACAAATACGGACACGTTATAATGATAAAGGGGACAATCTATCAAGAAGATATAACATTAATATACAAGCAACTGCCCTAGCCAGTTTGGCTCAGTGGTTAGACTGTCAGCCCACAGACCAAAGGGTTCTCTCTCTCTCTCTGTCCCTCCCCCTCCCTTCCACTCTCTCTAAAAATCAATGGAGCCCAGTTGGCGTGGCTCAGTGGCTGAGCATCATCCTGTGAACCAGAAGGTCACAGTTGATTCCCATTTAGTGCATATGCCTGGGTTGTGAGCTTGATCCCCAGTGTGGGGCATACAGAGGCAGCCAATCAATGATTCTCTCTCATCACTGATGTTTCTATCTCTCTCTCCCTCTCCCTTCCTTTCTGAAATCAATAAAAAAATTTTTTAAAAAATCAATGGAAAAATATGCTTGGGTGAGGATTAACAAAACACAACAACAAATATATATATATAGCCCTAACCGGTTTGGCTCAGTGGATAGAGCGTCGGCCTGCGGACTGAAAGGTCCCAGGTTCGATTCCGGTCAAGGGCGTGTACCTAGGTTGTGTGCACATCCCCAGTAGGGGGTGTGCAGGAGGCAGCTGGTCAATGTTTCTCTCTCATCGATGTTTGTAACTTTGGAGCATGAAAATATATAAAGCAATTATTAATAGACCTAAAGGGAGAAATTGTTAATGGATAGATCACCCACACAGAGTCCACATGGAAACAGTGGCCTTAAATGACACAGAGCAGTTGGACTTAGTAGATGTATTAGACATTTCCATCCAAAACAACAGAATGCACATTCTTCTCAAGTGCACATGGGACATTCTCAAGGACAGATCATATGTTCGGACAGAAGACAAGTCTAGTAAATTTAAGAAGACTAAAATCATAACAAGCATCCAGTGTGATCAAAATGGTATGAATCTAGAAATCAACTGTAGGAAGGAAGCTGAAAAAAATCACAAGTAAGTAGAGATTAAACAACATGCTACAGAACAACTACTGGGTCAAAGAAGAAGTAAAAACAAAACAAAAAACTCAAAAGATACATAGAGCCAAATGAAAATGAAAATATGACATATTATAATTCCTGGGATGCAGCAAAAGCAGCACTACGAGGGAATTTATAGCAATACAGGCCTATTTCAAGAAATCAGGAAATACACAAATAAAAACCTAACATTACACCTTAAGGAGGTAGAAAAAGAACAAACCCCATCACTGGCCGGTTTGGGTCAGTGGTTGGAGCGTCGGTCATGGACCAAAGGGTAAATGTTTAACAACAGGCTCTTCAGGGAGGAAAGGCCTTGATTTATGGGGTTGGCTGGTTTGGAGCTGCCAGCCTAACACAAATGAATGCGGCGTTGGGGAGGGATGCAGGACAGCCTGCTGTGCAGTATTTTGACCATATAGTGCCCGTGCACAAGGTCAAGTAGCTAGCATGTCTTTCGTATTTACTCCCTTTGTGTTTAATAATAATTCGTTTACCTGTAAATGTATGTGCTTTAATGTTTAATAACAGCTATGTTTAATAACTGTCCTACAAAATTCCTAACAATCACACCACTGGCTCCAGCTCACCACTAATCTATTCTATTTCTAGGTCCTGCGCCTGCCCTGGAAACAGGCTCCGAGAAACTTGACAGGAATCCGCGCTCGGAGAACAAGGAGAGAACTAAAGGGAACAGGCCATGTCCTGATTCTGCTGATCTTCGACCTCGAGGATACGCTCACATTAGAAAGAACACAGGTCCGGCTACAAAAAAGAAGGCACTGTAAACCATTTCGGTACAACCTAGAGGAAGTGCTGGATACGAAGCTACTGCAATAAAATAAGCCTAGAGCCTCGGGAGCAGTGGGAAGGCAAAGGGATCACTACGTAAGGAGGAAGCCTATGCCTAACTGTGGGCTGTCACCGACCAAAATCTAAAAAGGAATTTCAACATCGCAATGTGCTTACTGCTAACTTTGTCAGGAATTCCTACTTTAATGGTTTATTTATTTAGTTTACAGCTAGTGAAACTTTAGGGCTGTTAGCATCACAAAGTATTTTTTTAATTAAGCTTAGTAATGTACTGCTCTTGCTTCTAGGCAGCGGTTCTCAACCTGTGGGTCGCGACCCCTTTGGGGGTCGAACAACCCTTTCACAGGGGTCGCCTAAGACCACTGGAAAACACATATATAATTACATATTGTTTTTGTGATTAATCACTATGCTTTAATTATGTTCAATTTGTAACAATGAAATTGGAGGTCACCACAACATGAGGAACTGTATTAAAGGGTCGCGGCATTAGGAAGGTTGAGAACCACTGCTTCTAGGCATATGCAGGCGTTTTCATCAGTGGAAACCATTTGGCCGGAGAGGTTCCAAGTTCCTCATTTTTTGACAACAGCTTCCTACCCAGCCAGGTCTCTAATGTTCACATTCCATAATAAGTGAAGTTCAAGTTCAGAGACTGCCCATCCCCTGCCTTCCTGTACTCCCCCGCACCACGGTGCCTATCTCCCCTCAGATCTCTTTGCTTTTATACCCAGGATGAACACGGTGATTGATCACTTGAAGTTTTTATAAAATCAGTACCCTTCATTTCCTGGCAATATTAACCTTCTGCCAAACCAATCCAGCAAAGCAAAACTGAGTCAGATAGAGATTGTATACCTCTCTATTGCTGGAGAAGAATCACATCACTGGGGAGATTCAAACAGAGACGCATTCATAGTCTCTCTCCTGGACATGCCGATTATGTCTCCCCACTCCCCAGACTTTCTCAGAGAACCCCTGCTCTTTGGGGTCTCCATCAGCCCACAAGTTAAGGAGTCAATCAGTCTGTCTCTTAAGATTT